ACAGTAAGGCCACCTGCCAGATAAAGCACTGTCAGCCTCTTTTGATAATGTAATAATTTTGAAACCCTCTTCTCCATTCATAGTGTGGTGTTTGCCCTGTCCGTTCTTTTCACTGCCAATTGCCTGCAGCACGGGTACATCTGTCACCACCCCAGACCTCTCCTCTCCTCCCTGGGCAGACAGGGATATGTCCTTCCTGTTTGTTACTGTTTGTCAGTCTTGGGGCTCTGCTTTAAAGCCTTCTTTTCTATTTCTTTCAGTTCTGAATGCCACTTATTTCACATGCTGTAAGAAGTTTATCTTAAATACCTTGCAGTTAGTTTTCAATCTGAAATTATTTTTTACACATTCTGATAGGTGCCTATCAAGATATTTTCAACTGGCAAAAATGTATTTTAAAAAAATTAAATCCAGTAATTTCTTGCAGCATTTCAGAAATCCCAAGCCTTTAAGATTGTATCTAGTGTTTGCAGAGCATGAGCACTTCTGGTGAAAACCCCTAACAGGCTTTGAGATGCATTTTTCTAAGCTGTGAACTTCCACTGCTGCCTTGTACATTGTGTGTTGTATGTAGGATGTTGTTCAGGCCTTGAGATCCAGGAGACCAGGAGAGAGGGAGATGCACACGGAGGGATAATTGTGCCGCCTTTGGGACAATACACTACTTTCTGAAACAGGGCTCCAGAAAAGATGTGCTTAGGAGTGGGACACTGAAGGCAGAGAGGTTCAACTGCTTAACACTGTGGTTCATGTTAGTGACTCCTTCACCCTGGCTTACTAAAGGTTTCACAAGATCCGGTCCATGCTCTTGCGGCTCAGGAGAGCAAGTGGTGTTTTACCACTTTTGCTGCTCTCTTGGCAGGGCTTTATGGTATTAGGGGCAGGTTGTGTTCAGGGTTGAAACGCAATGCTGGGTGAAATAGTTCAAACAGCATCTATAACTGGGCATGAATTGAAAGATTAAGTCAAACTAATCTTTAAAATTTTAGGAGTGAGCAGATTCTGTTCTTTGTGACCCTGACCATGAAACCTGGAAAGCTGTACGGGCATCCAGATCTCTGCATTTGCAGCCCTTCAACACAGAGGCTGTTTTAAGACAGGCATGAGCTTCCTCTTGTGACTTTTATCACAAGGTGCCAATTTCCATAGTCCTGTCATGTTGTTACAGTTCCTACTTGTCAGAGTGAAGTTGTTTATCTTGTGAAATGGGAAGCTTGCAGTACCCTTAAACACTCTATTTGAGCCTCATTTCAAATACTTATTTGTTTGCAATTTTTGTTTCAAGCAATAACTGCCCTTTGTTAGGGGATTGATAATTCAGGTTGTGGGACAGGAGTCAGCTGAAACAGACTCAGTTAATGGAGTCTTGAATGGATGATGTGAAATCAGGAGTGCTTTTGCCTATTTTGCCAGCTGAAACTCAGTGTTTGTGAGTTTAATTCAATTATTTTACATAAAAAAATGTGGAACCTACTGCAAAGCCCTAGCTGTATTGTGCCACTATCGCTGGTAGCAAAGGGTGAGAATGTCAAAATGTGTGGTAGTTTAAACAAGGGGATGGGAGAAGACTGGAGTCTGGGTCCAGCCTAATGAGAACAAAAACTTTAGAAAGATGATTCTGTGATAGTTTTAGCCAACTAAGCACGTATTGCTAAAATGTCCCTTTCCTTGTGTAAGTCCAGTCGTAGTTGTTTGTGTTGCCATCTGAATTTGTATGGTGTCTCCTCATTTTGGAGTGGATGTGCTGCCCTGAAGAAGTTGAGAAAAGGCTTTTGCATTTGACCTATTGCTTAGTGATTTCTCCAAGTAGTTGTAAGGTGCAAAACCTTATTAAGTAGTTGCACTTCTTAAAATGAAGATCTTGACCGGTCCTTACCTGTGTTCATCATGCAGGAGTCTTTGTTGTGTAAGAGCATTTGGGAGGAAGAAGGAATCTCCTCTCCATTTGCATTATCCACCTGTGGAAGCTGATCCTGAGGTGATTTCTTCCATTCCCATGGAACATGATTGCCCTGCGTTTCAGTTGTCTGCATTGGGGGCACTCTCCCTGCAGGCTTTGGTCTGGCATGGATTTGACTATCACACCAAAGAAGTGTTCCTCTGACATCTTTTTCATGGCATCAGAGAGGACCCTACAGCTCCATAACGCTGCTCCAGCAAATGCTCTGGACATATGCAAGTTGTTTTAAGAGCCTCTTTTGAAAGCTGTGGGGAGTTTTGGTGACTCCATTACCACACCTTAAAAGGGCACAATGTCCTATGGAGAGGTGTGGCAGCTATTATCCCAGTCAGGTTATCTGGTGAAATTAGAGCCCTGAGATATGCAAATAGGTTAAAATGTGTGTGCCTTTGAGCTGCACAAATTTTTTTTGGTGAGTGACTGCTATCAAAATGTTTGAGCTACAAAATTCAGATATAGATGCAAAGATGGCATGAATTGAATGTACATTCTCCGGTAGCTTCTTGTCTTTCACATATATGCACCCTAGAAAGTATCAAAGAAGTGTTGAACAGAAAGGACTGGAAGTTATCAGAAAAAGAGTTAATCATATTTTTCTATGGATCCCTTGACTTTAAATTTTCTCAAACAATTGATTGTATCCCTCTATAGGTGTCTTGTTTCAGAAGTGACTGTGACTTCATATATATTTAAAAAAAATTTGGAAGTTGAAGTTTTTACACTAGATGTTTATTTTTAATTGGTCTACCTATAAAAGAAGGGGTATAGCAGAAAAAAAGAGGCAGCTAAGAGATGAGCAATGAGGAGATCCAGCAGACTGAAAAAATTATACCAAAAAAGAGGCTGGGATGGTTTACTTTGACTGTCTCTCAATGATCTTGTCCCTACAGACAAGCATGACCCACTTGGGGAGGTGGAGTGGAGCAAGGTGAAGTCAGCCACTTTTGCTGGCTCTGGCTTATAATTTGGGTTGGTGAAAAACATCATGTTTACAGTGATAAAGGAAATAGTTCTTTGCAAAATACCATTAATCCTGAGGAACTCATCAGCAAGATATTACTAAAGCTGGGGACTTAATAGGGTTTCAGAAGAGTGGTAGTAAAGAACATACTTGGTTTGCAAAAAAGCTAGTGGTACTGGAAGGGATTCAACCTCCTATTCTTGGGGGCATAAGACAGCCTCAAATTAAACACATCTTAGGCAGTAACCTCAGAAGATTCTGTCTGTGGGGCTGCTGCAGCTTGTATTGTCTTCTGACCACCTAGTCTGGTCTGTGGGAAAAGTCAGGGTGCACTGCCCCAGGTCAGCAGTGACCTTTCCAAAGGGAAAAGGTCAGGCTTATGTGAGCTGCAGCATCCTGACCTTCCCCTTGTCAAGCTCCCCCTTCATGCAGTCTGTTCCTTCTAAAGGTTTCCCTCTGTGACCTGGCTGCTCAGGTTAACCTCTACTTTTTCTTGGTACTCTGCTCGTTATTTCTCCTCCTCCGTGTGTGAGGAACCGGAGAAGGAAGTTGACATATTCCACAACATTTTTAGCATCAAATAACTCCCAGTTGGTTCATCTCTCCCATAAGGCATTAATAAAAGTGTTTAAAGGTAACAGCCTGCTGTATGACCTCCCTGCTCTGCTTTTAAAGGAGAGAACTGTTGCTGAAAACGGGAGGAAAAAAACAAACAAACAAACAAGAAGACAAGAGGAGAAGGCCAGAGTGACAGATGTTGAAGTTGAATTATAATGTTCTCATCATAAACCAACCTTTTTAGGTTCTGCTGGTAGTTATTCATACTCACTCTGATGATGTGCCACTACAACTTTGTGTAGCTACAAGCTAGGACTACCCAAAAGGCTGGGAGGAACAAGGTCCAGGCTTTTGTAAGCATTATGTTATAGTAGCTATAGAAAGACATAACAATGAGCAATTAATTTGTGTGAAGAATATACATGATTAGTTTCCATCATTTGTATGTTTGAAGGATACTGTTTAGTCATGCATCTTTACAGCACAAACTGGCACATTGTTAAGGTCATATTTGCTTTAGTTGCATCATTGAGTCTGTCACAGAATAGTCCTTTATTCTGTTGGTACTCTGTTTCCAAATCTAGGAGTATTTCCTCCCAAACATATGTGCATAATGTAGCGTGTGTGTGCACACAAGGGAAAGGAAGCAGATGACTTGTGTTCAGTATAATGGTTGTTTTGGGCTGGAACTGCTGCAGGCTCCCTGTTGAAAAGAAACGTGTGTGCCTATTTGTTCATGAACAAAGCCGCTGTCGTAGCTATGTTGATTGTGCAGACCACCCTACAGTCTTTCTGTAGGATCTTGGTTAGAGAAAGATGTAATCTTTCTCCTTCATAGCCTTTCTCCCTCTTTGCTTTCCTCACTGTAATCATAGTGTGCCAATCAATGCCTTCATGACAAGTGGGATCTCAGCTGAGGTTCCCATCAGCGGAGGAGAGAGGAGAATGGATGGGGCTTGGTGGAGAAGTTCAGGTGGGTTACTGCTGACTAGAGCTTGAGTATAAATTAGCAGTGTGTGTGTTGGAACTGGCACTTAGCATGGGGGGATAGGGCAGCATCCAGAGTTACGTGGAGGCAAAGATCACTGGCTGTTGCAGAGGAGGTGTGAGAGAAATGATCAAGTTGTGTAGGATTCCTCTGGAAGTGGAAGATTGTTCTTTAAGTGTGACAGCTTTGATACAGCAACTTCACACGTGCTTTGCTCCAGTTTTGGAACCAATTCTTTTGTTCTTTCCTGGTCTGTGACCTCAAGACAGCCTGTGATTTCAGTGCTGAGGTGCAGTCTCAGTGTCATGCTTTGTACTATCAGATTGTCCAGATGAGAGTCTTCAATGTTCTTGTAGTTTTTTATTGCTCAAGATGCTCTAGAAACCCTCAGTGATTTACAGAGTAAGGATTTGGCTAGCCTTTTTTCTTTGATCTATAGTTTTTCTCTGAAGTACCTCCGCTTTTTTTTTTTGCATTGAAAATTACCTTGTGATAGCAGATTTGAAACCCTTTTTTCCCCATTCTGCTTTCAGATTCCATTGGTGGGTCGTTTTCAACTTCCTCCCACCGATGCCACCACAAGCAGAAGCACTGTCTCCCCATCCCACAGTGTGGAACTCTGTCCATCAGCCCTCTGCTTTTCCATCCTCACACGAAGGGATCCCAGATCATCATGGACACAACACAGAAGGCGGTGAAGCGCCAGGCTAGCTTCTGCAATGCCATTACCTTCAGCAACAGGCCTATTGTTATTTATGAACAAGTCAGGCTTAAGGTGAGTAAATTATACCTTCCCTTTTTGCCATGGGAGCTGCTGTGAATGAATGCTGGGGTGTACCAGGCTTTGGTGCTTGCAGCAGATCTCTAGCCCTTCCTTGGAAAGCGCAGTAGTCAGATCTTGGCCTTAAAGATCTGCGATCTTCATTGGTACTTCTGCTTTTGTCACTGTGGTTCTTGGAGCCATAGGTACAGACTGCTGTAGAAACTGAGAACAAAAGGGAAATCCGTGTTCCAAAGACACTTGTCTTGATGTTAGACAAGAACAACAGAATAAATTGAGATTGCTTGGAAAAAGCAAGAAAAAAGGGCTGTATTGATTAGTTTGAAAGGCAGCAGCCTTAATATCTCCCTAGCCGACATGTCCTCTAGGCTTTGCTCCCTTCCTGCAAAGGAGTTTTGCTGGCAGGCTGAGGGAGGTTGAGGAGTTAGTGAAGGCATTCCAGTCCCCAAGGAGCACTTTTGTTCCTGTAAACAAAGCAGCAATGAGGGCTAGTTTTGTGGAGGTGAGAGTCAGCCTCTCCACAGCCAAGACATAAGAGATGAAAAGGACCTGGAAGTGAAGGTGCTTGCTTGTGTGCTTGGCAGGGAAAACAGAAGGGTTTGGATGAAAGGAGCAGTGAGTGCAGTCACAGTTGCTGTCTAAGAAAAGGATCTTTCTGTCTGTCTGCTGACTGCTTTGTTCAATCAGTCACCTGACTGTGGTAGCCCAGAGGATGGAATTCATACTCCTGGTGCTGCAACTGGCACAGGAAATTCAGCTCCTCTAAGACACCATGCCTCCATGCGCATCAGGAGTTGCTTTCTCATGAAGAAACTCCTCAGTCTCCTTGGGAACTGAAGCACTTTTTAGCCCTTAAGGAGCTTGGAGCCCTTTGAATTCATCCACAGATAGTTCCCAATCTTTATGCCCTCTAATTTGTGGGACTGCATTTTTCTGTTCTTAGCTGATTTCATGCCTTACATTGGCACAAAGTAGGTCATCTTATTTGGCCACTTTAGTTCATGGCACACGTGAATGGTCTGACTGCAAATCCTTCATATATGCAGGAGTTTTCCAGGAGGTTTTTCAGCATATAGCTACCGAGTCTGAATGATCTTGTTGTTGCCCATTGCTAGAGGTCACAGAGTGCTGAGACCTACAGCAGCAAGTCAGCCTTCCCTGCCTCTTCCTTTAGAGCCAGAAAAGGAGCAAGGAATAAGGAAGATGCTTCCTTTTGGAAATATACAGAGATTTCAGTGATTTCTGGTTCAGGGCCATGGGTAGAAAATCCCTCCTACAGGTTTGTTATGTTTCCCGTGGAGCTCTTCTGTTTCCATCCACGGTGGAATCCCAGAGGACTCACTCATGTTGCCTAATGAGATTTTTTTTTCCACATTGGCCAGCAGTTTCGACAACCAACTGCGAAAATAATCTGGGAGAAGATGAAAGCATTGCTTTGCTTTTGAAGACACCATCAGAGATTTGAGTGGATTTAGTGGTTTAGGCAAAGGTTCTGGGTTATTTATTTCTTCCTCATTGTGAAACAAGGTATCTCTGGAAATTCACACTTGTTTATGACTGTGTATTTTAGGATTTTAGCTTGCATAACATATGTGAAGAATATGCATGCAAATCTGCACAAGAGATTTATAAGCAGAGCTCCTGCTGACTCCAGTGGGAAGGTCTCATGGCAGTAATCAACAGGCTTCACCAGAACTTGTACTCTAGGGATGGATGAAAATGTGAGAACATCTTTGCTTTTATGATAAGTCCATCCTGTAACTGCCTCACTATTGTGTGTGCCTGTGGAAAACAGCATCTTAAATCTTCTTACCAGCCAAACACTAGCCATGAACCCAGTCATTCAGGTCCTATAAAGTCTAAACTCTGTTTGGAAAATAGAAGAAAGAAGTAAGGAGATTTCATTCTATTTATTAAGTATTGTATCTCACATTTTGTTCTGAGATTTTTTTGCAGTTTTGGGAATATGGGAATATGGCTGTCAAACAGCCTCAGAGACATATGTCCCAGTATGGCTTCTTCCATGTAATTCGTGGCATTGCTTGGGAGTGGAGTGAGGTTCTCAAAGATGGCACAAGGCAGTAAAGATCAGGAGCCTGAATCTTTGGAAGCAGGCATGGCTTAGCAGTTTGGGTGTTGATTCTGTCTTTTCCTCCCTTTCTGGTACCCAGTGGACCTCCCAGACTTTTCTGCTAGCAGTGGCTGCTGAAGGGAGAATTTGGTCCATCATTAACCATTGCCTTTTTTAGCAAAACTGTGTTTCCTTTGTCCAGCTGTGTCTAATTCTTGGCAGGCTTTATACTTGATTTGAATTTGGATATTAGTTTGCCTGTGGTCAGACTGTATTGAGAACTGTTTATAGGTGCTGATTAATACATGGAACATGTGCAGCCTCAATTACCATATGAATATTTACTTCACACGGCCTGTGATTGCTGTGAAGTATTGGCAAGAAACTAAATTGTACAAATGACAATGAGGCTGTATTTATCTTAGACCCAAAAACTTTTAGGGCTTGTGGTAAATTTTCTGTAATAAATAATCCAGACTTCTTCTTGGAGAATGTGTATTATGTTTCCCCATTTTGTCATGTGAATGCCCGGTTCACCCCAATTCTACTGGGGACACTCACGATCCATTCTACCCTGGTCAGGTATAAAAAATAGCAAATCTACTTCAGTCCTTTTCAGTGCCACCCCAGTGTCCATCTCGCAAGCAGGAGCTTCCCGTGGTTCCTGGGACTGAGGTCAGTGCTCAAGTGTTTCATGTAAACAGTTTAGGTGCCTGGCTGGACTGAATAGGGATAAAGAGCAGCACTCCCTTAACTGAAAAATTATCTGTTGATAACTTTTTTTCCTGAGCCCTAAGTTATTTTCTCTGATACTTCAATTATAAAACAGAATTCTCTAGGCTTTGAGCAATGTCTTTGTTGTGAGATTGTTGTGCCCCCAAGGGCACACGTTTCAGATTTGCCTTGAAGAGGAGCATGTGAAAGAAAAATACAGTATTTACAAATGTGATTAGCAGAGAATCCAGAAGCCCAAAGAAAATGTCTTGTAGAATCCCTTGGTGAAAAGCCTGTGTTTCCAAATTGGAACACAAGTGGTTGCTGCCAGGCTTTTTAGGACAAAGTCCTGCAGTCCCAGACAGTTCAGTTTCTGGCTTTGCCATTCATCTGAGACATTACTGTTTGGCAGAGCAAGAAATTACAGAAAGGCAGCAAGTTTTGTGTGACATCTGGTGGGTAGTACCTATCCATGTTTCTGCTCTTGTCCTGCAGTCAACAGTGGAATTGCTTGAGGCTACCAAGGCATTGATGGAAGAGGACTATCTCAAGTGCTGCCATGTTTGCTGCAGGTTCAATGCATGAACAGATATGCCAATTATGCGTCAAATGGCATGCAGGAACTATCTTGGCTCCACATCAAGGTTGGATCCTGCATCCTTAGGTCTTGCATTTTGTAGTCTGGATGCTGACAGGCTGAATCCCTTTGAGAGGAACAAATCCCAGCAGGTTCATACTCAAACAAGAAAATGTGAGATAAAAATTCTCCAAGGACATCATCTCCATGAGGGGACCATACTAACTCGGGAAGACTCCTTGCTTCCATGGGGAAAAAGCAACTTTGTAACTGAGTAGTGTTTTAAATGTCCTGCGTGTATTTAGGACCTGCTGCCTGCTCCCCTCAGATCCCCTACAGTCCAGGGCTTAGTTCTTGTAAGAAGAAGCTGATGACTCTGGAGGCATCTGTGATCCATTGTCCTGCTGTCTCTCTGGTGCAGAAGGGTGAATATGAGACGTGAACCATTCAAAAAACTAAAGCAGACTCTGTTCCTGACCCCAGACACACTGAGTCATTGCATACTGACAGGTGGAGTGTAGTTGTGCACAATGTTTTGAAAAACACCACTCACAGCTGAAATAAATAGTTTTTTCCCAATCATAAGACAACATCTATTTTTGCCTCCTAATTGCGTATTTAATGAAGTTAAATACTTTAAATTGTGCTTTCCCACACACAAGTTCTCTGCTGCAAGGCTGTGATCCAGTATGACAAGCTAAACACAGGAAAGACTGTCTTTAACTTGTCTAGGAAACCCAGAAAACTGCATGGTGGTAACTGTGATTCTCCACATAGATTTAATTTGATGTGTTTAGTTTTAAATGTGGGCATTGTATCCTAAGTGTGCAGCATTGCTGCTTGCAGCTGAAAAAGCTACAGCAGTGTTTGGTGTGTAAAATGTTTCCTAATTTTGGTGGGGTCATCTGCACGCTGGCCACCAGTGTTTGATGCATAGAGCCAGTAGTGTTAAAGCAGATGTTCAAGTGCCAAATGCTGTTATTGCTGCTGTTATCTTTGCAGATCACTAAAAAACAGTGTTGCTGGAGTGGGGCTCTTCGACTTGGCTTTACTTCCAAGGATCCATCGAGGATTAACCCTGACACTCTGCCGAAGTATGCGTGCCCTGACTTGGTTTCCCAAAGTGGGTTTTGGGCCAAGGCTCTGCCAGAAGAGTTTGCAAATGAGGGAAACATCATAGCCTTCTGGGTGGACAAGAAGGGACGGGTTTTCTATCGAGTGAATGACTCCACTGCGATGCTCTTCTTCAGTGGGGTGAGGACAGCAGAGCCCCTCTGGGCTTTGATCGATGTCTATGGACTCACCCGTGCAGTGCAGCTCTTAGGTGAGTACCTGGGTCCAAATGTGCAGGGATGATGCTGAACCTGACAGGGTCTGTCCCCTCTCTGGGTTGGACAGGTGCAGGAAAGCAGCTGTTGCCCCTCCCCAGAGCATCTCACAACCTCAGCCTGGATCAGTGGGTATTTGAAACGCAGCAGGTAAATATAACACCACTGGGAGGTGGGAAACAGCTGCTGCAGTATAGCACTAGAAGCCATCTCTAAGTAAGTGGATTTCTGCTCAGAGGTGTTGCTTTGTCAGAGCTCAGAGCCTGGAGTGTGTCATATACCTTGTAAGACTTTATTTTTATCTCATTTTCTGCTTTCGCCATGCCAAAGCGGGAAAGTGCATTTTACGTGCTATGGATAAATTCTTCCTGGATGGCACTGTTACGATTTTCTGGCTGGTTTAATGGACAGATTTGAAACATGGCTGTCTTCCAAATTACCTGAGCAAATCTGTGGCTGGTTTTTCCAGAATGTTGCTTTCACAGAGGAGTTTGATTTGGCAGCATGCAGCCTTAGATTCACTGGGAGGCAAATCACAGCACTTCTCCATGTACCAGTAATTTCATGACTCTTGTTTTCAGCATGGAAAAGGTTAGATGGTACCTGCTGATCTTCAGAAGCTGAAGTTCCTTCTGAAGATCAGAGATCTTGGCTATTTCCTGTTGTGCAGTCTGCTAATCTCTGTTAGAGTTACGATTTTATGGTACATATGAAAAACTTTATTGAAACTTCTTTCTGACAGTTCTGCCTCCTTTCTGCATTCTGTGCTGTATTAAAAAATCTGGTGGCAGGACGGCCTGTAGCTACCTACATGACAAGGAAGAGGGATGTGGGTTCTGGAGATGAAGAAATGAGACTGACTTTGTTGCAAAAACTCCTGGCCCAAGATAGCACAAGGCAGAGGAATTGAAGAATTTCTCAGCAGCTTTTTCTTTTTTTAGGTGCAGAAAGATTTATCTTTTGTTATGAATCGGTTTGAATCAGAGCCACTAGGCAACTATTCACAGACCAAGGTGGAGATATTCGAATTGGGATGTAGAATTTGGGCAAATGTCGCACAAAGGGTTCAGTTAGGAAGAGCTTACAAATGACTCCAAGTCCTCCGTCTATTCTTGCAAGATTTGGCACCTCCAGACTGCTCTGCCTGATTAATGAGGGTCCATAACTCTGCATTATGTGTTTCCTTTCAAAACACCCGAGAAATCATTTCCTATCCATCATCCGCCCCTGCGTTGTCTGAGCATCTTCCACATGCCCTTTTACAAGGGAAATGTGACTTTTGCCAGCCTCTGACTTACCTCCAGTCCAGAAGGCTCACAACTCTGGTGGGCATGAAGTTCCTGAATGAAGCAAGCAGCTTCTGAGTTTACACAGTTGGCGTGGAGCTCAGATACGTGTTTATAGCTTGTTCCAGGAGCCTTCAGCAGGCTTTAAGCCTAGCAACTGTGCTGAAACGTCTTCAACCACAAGTCCTCTCTATCTGCATTCATTATTAAACAGCACTAAAAGTCAGAGAAGGGAAATTGTCGGCTGTGCTGCTCCTGGATTCTCTAGACATACCCGCTACAACGTTCTGCATGCCTGTTTTAGTGTAGCAGACCACACATACAGCACAGGACATCTTGCCAAAAACGCCTGGGACTTGACAAATGAATTTCATAGCTTAGCTACAAACATATGGTTGAATTCAGCCTGGTATGGCATGCAGGGCATCTGATAGAGGCTGGGGGTGCTGGAGTGGTATGTTGAACAGAAGAGCCTAGCATTTCAGATTCCAGTTCAGTGATTTATTTCCCCCTAACCCCAAACATGTTCCTTGTTTTTAAACCTCACTATTTTCTAATGCCTGTGGGGTTACAGGGTCATACTGCACCTCTGCACTGCCTCCACTTGCTTTTATGTGTATTTCACTCAAGAGTCTGATCAAAAGCTTTATCATTTCTGGTGTCTTTCTGTTTATTGCAGAATTACTCCCTTCCCACTCCCAGTAATGTAACTTGACTTCCAAAATGAGACTTGCCCAAAAAAAAGACCTGCAGCAGTAAGTCCTGTGTCACTGCAGGGTCCCAGCTCTGCAGCGGAATAGACAGTGTACATTTATGTTCCCAGAAGTGACAACTTCCAAAACTGCACATTTTTTTTTGCTTATCTGCATTACACTGGTAAATAAGTTCCAGCTAAAATACAGAACCCAGTAAAGCAGGGAGGTGACCAAGTCTAGTGACATTGTTCCTGTCTTACAGATTTAATTAAGAGAGACTTGAACAACGGGGGGGGCAAAGCCTGTGAGAAATAAATGATTTGCCAGAGGTTGTACAGCAGTGACACCTGACTCAGGACTGCCGTCAGCCTTGTTGCCCAACTCAGCCCTGCCTCTCTCTCTATCTGCATCACAGGCATTGCATAACACTCCCGCATCATTAAAAAGCAGCTGGTTTGTACCTTCATTTTTCATTTCCTCCTGCTTATGGCTTTTCCCACAGCATCAGCCTTACTGATAATTACCCACATGTCACTAATGCTGTCAGTGCACAGGTGTATATGGCTGTCACAGATGTTCCTGAGTCCGACTGCCCTTGCTGTATGTTCAGAGGCAGAGCCCTTTAAGGTGCTTCTTTGCTGGCTAGATTTTGAAATAAAACAGGTGAAAAGGGCTTGCATCGTCCACTGCATCACAGCCAAGGGGAGTTTGAACTGAGTTGGGCCATGGTTTGCCTGTCACTGCTGGAGTGAGTCAAATTGAGGGACTGACTTAAATCTACCTTGAAGTGGCTTCAGCGATGAGGTTCTGACACAATCACAGGTGAGAGGCTACTCCTTGCCCTCCTCTACCCACATTATAGAGCTGGAAAGGCTTAAATTCACCCAGGAATCTGGTCTCTGACCACATAGTCTCACTGGTTTTCTGCCACAATATAAGGGTTTGCATAGAGGAGGCTGTTGCAATGGAGTGCATGCATGTTCTGTGTTTTAGGAGATGAGTTTTAGTGTAGATGCAGGTTTACATGACCTATAAACATGCCCTTATACAGTGACTCTCCTACTGACATGCTCAACTTGCGGGCAGGATGGTGTACAGGTCTACTTCCCTTTTTGGGCAGCTAGTTTTGCACAAGTGCACTTTTGCATTCCAGGATACTTTAAAGTAATGTTTACTAGAAATGTGGCTTGTCCTTATGTTATCACTTCAACATACACACATGCTCATTCACACTTTTTTAAAAGAGTCCGAGAAAAATGGAATATAAGCAATCTGCTGCCTTGCTGCTATAATAAAGCATCAAAAAAAGGAAAGGCCCAGCTGTTTAAATCTTGGTGTCTTCAGAGACCTGGAGGAAGGATGGCAGCTCATGGGAACCAAATGGTGTTGTCTCACATTAACCTGCTTCTTTCAAGCTCTTGGCTAGTGAGCCTGGCATATACGCTTTCTGTGGATTCACTGAAGAACAGCAAGGGTGACAGCTTCCCTCAATGATATGTACATTACAGCATAATGAGTGTTTACAGCATTTTCCTTTACCTTTCGGTGGGGTATTCCAGGTTTGCCTGTCCCATGGTGCCTTTTTGAAAATCACCCCATTGTTTTGGCAGTGACATTGCAGTACAGGATTTCAGAATGGTTAAGATTGGAAAGGCCCTATGAAGATTGTCTAATCCTATCACCAATGTCTTTTCTTTCAAAGCACAATGCATGTGCTCTAAAAGTACAGAAAAATGGGACTGCAAAGCAATTATAATTCCAGTATACCTCTCTACTCACCCTGTGTTTCCAGTGTGGTAATGTGAGGAATGGTCTACTCATTTTCCTTAGCCGCATTCGTTGCTAGGATGGTCAGCAAGCAACCCCCTTTACCATTTATTACTCTGTTCACACTCTTCTCCCATCCATTCTGTATTTTCATTCATGCAGTATTTCAAAGTATTCTTGGTCTTTTACCAGCACAGGCTTTGAAAACCAAGGATAATTTTATTTAGATTGGCACACTGAGAGGCACCTGTTGAAAGCTGTCTCACCACATCTTGTAAATATAAAATATGTAAAAAACCTAGTAAGACTTTGCAAAATGAGAAAATTTAAATGCATATGTATTAAATATGCATGTATTAGATTTACCTGAAGTTGAAATAATATAAATATATACTTCAGTCATAAATGTATATACAGATCCTAGTAGAATTCACTAGCAGTGTTGTATATTATATTAGATATTTGAGAAATCTATTCTTTCTCCGTATCCCCTTCCTAGCTTCTTATTGCTTTATGTTTGCAATGTATCAAAAGTTAAAATGTGAACTAATCCCAAATGGAAATGTACCCATCTTGAGACTCAAGCTGGTGTCTATTTGACAAGGAGTTGCACATTTTGTGGGGGAAGAAAGAAACGTTTGTTTTTCTTTCTTTTCTCTTGTCAGTTCTTACATAGATTGAATCTCTAGCTCCAGGCCACGTTTAGAAGAAACATTAAATAAGCCTCAAATGAGGTAGATTTATGGGTAATTTTCAAGTGTGAATGGTATAAGACTGATGATAAATCTAATTTATCCCATGCATCTGCAGTTTTACTGTGTGGTTATTACTATTTTATTTTCCAAGTGCAAAGCTTATTTTCCATTGCCCACGGGAATCCATTTCTGTTGGTCTTCTGACACGTGCAAATAAGCAGACTGATCTGCTGAGAGAGCTTTGCACTAAACAAAATTGGATAATCAGATATGACTGCAGTGTGTTTTTATAGGGTATTGTTGAAAGTGGAAGCTGTAAACTATTTATCCTTTCTGTGGAAGTCTGTGACTATCTGATGGAAAAGCATAAGTGCTTAAACAGAGTCCTGCTTAATGAAGGCAAGATACACAAGACCTGCAAACAGTCAGTTGTCCTTGTTTTTCCGCATCTCCTAAGGCGAGAGAGAATTTAAATTGCTCATAAAGTTTTATTATCTGTAGCTGTTGTCTCTATGGCAGCTGCAGGAAGCTCTCTAACACAGCTACAACTATG